CGCTGCTCTCTCCTTTAGCCTCCTCTTTGCTGCCCGAGGTGGCACCAACCAGGGCATGTTCCCTCTTCAGACCCAGTGGCCCCGTGCTTTGGGCAGCCGCCTCTCGGGAGGCTGCGTCAGGGGAGCATGTGCGTCCCTGGCCGGGGTGGTGCGGGGGGGACTTGGCGCCTGAGCACGCTGCCACCTTTCGCTCCGTTCAGACCCGGAACTTCCTGAGCCCGGAGGAGGTGATGAAGGGCCTGCAGGGCGAGATCGAGGAGATCCTGGGCGGGATCAGGCTGAGCATCACCGTCATCGAGAAGCTGTACCGGACCTACGACGCCTGCTGCTCGGATGCCATGCCCGCCTTCTTCCAGGCACGCTGCTCTGGGGGCACGGGGCACTGGACCCCTTCGCTCTCGCATGCCTTCCCACCCTGACCACAGCCTGCTCCCCTTCCAGGACAAGGAGCCGCGGCTCTGGGAGTTCCCCTCCTCTCTCGTGTTTGGCAGGATGGACTCGTTCCTGCACCGGCTGAAGACCATCGAGGTGAGCGGGGGGGCAGGGACTTGGGCTGTGCCCAGGACAGTCACGTCCTCCCTGCCCAGCCCCGGGGTGCAGGAGGGGCCTGCAGGGCAGCTGGAGCCCCGCGCCGCGCCGTGCCGCGCCACGCCGCGCCCTCCAGGCCCAGGGGCTCCCCCAGAGAACAGCGATGCAGCAGAGCCGTGCGCTGGCTAGAGGAGTGGACTGGTGCCAGGGGGCTTGCCGTGAGCACTAGCGGTCCCGATGCACCAGGCACCCGCTGATGCACCTGGCTGACCCGGGGCTCAGCTTCTCCCTCTGGGAAATGGGGGCACGCCTCCACGCAGGCTTGGCAGCCCTCTGCCGTGCAGGTGGCCTGGGCCCCATGATCTCTCTCATCCATTTAGCGCCCATGTTCTTCCCCCTGATCACCCGTTCGGCAGCCTCCGTCCAGCCCTGGCCGGTTGCTGCTACCAGCCCGGTACGGCGAGGCCCACGCTGGCTACGGGGACGACGCGGCTCTTTCTGCCCGGCAGGAGCTGTACGTGACGGCCGTGGAATTCCTGAAGCTGGAGAAGATCGAGCTGGGCGGCGTGCGAGGAAACATCCTCGGGAATATGGTGTTTCAGATTTACGAGGAGGTCTCCGAGCTCGTCAAGGTGTTTGCTGACTGCAAATACGATCCCTTGGATCCTGCGGAAGAGGTGAGTCGCTGTCGGTGCCAAGCGCCGGCTGGTTTTCGATCGATCGACGACTTGCCTTGAGCAAGCCGGGGGATCTGCATGTGGAGCAGTCACCATGGCAACAAACGCATTGAGCTGAGTGATGGGAGCGTTCCTTGGGTTGCAACGAGCGGATCTCGCAGCCGCCTGCCCGAGCAGACACCGCTCCCTGGCCGTGCTAATCCCCGTGCTTTGCATTGGCAGCAATTTGATGTGGACTTTACGGAGTTCCAGACCAAAGTCCAGGACCTGGACAGGAGGCTGGCGACCATCTTCTGCCAAGGATTCGGTGACTGCAACAGTTTTGAGTCTGCTGTGAAGGTACACATGGACGTGTGTGGCTCACACACCCACCTCTAGCAGGGTGGCAGTGCACGCCTCGCTGGGGAGAGCGTCCTGGCGGGGCTGGTGCCAGGTCTGCGCAGGGATAGCGCTCGTGCCCGCCAGGGGCAGGTGCTTTTGGAGTAAGTGAGAAGCACCCACCCAAATCTGCGGGTGTCGGTGCAAGCCACCTCGCAGAGGCCTGGTTCTCAGGTGGGGCGCTCGAGGGAGACAATAGAAGAGCAAGGAAATGTTGGAGCTGGCAGAAACGGTTTCAGGGGAAGGATTTCCCATCAGAAAATGCAGTTTTGTGGAAATGAAATCATCTGGCGGGAACACTGCCGCAGGGCCCAGGGGCTGTGGAATTCAGAGTCTGCAAGACACAGTGGGGTGGGAAGAGGTGAAGCCCTACCGCTCGTGCGCAGGACGGCCAGACTGTGGGACCTTCGGGTCGGTGCAACGCAATGCCAGCACGAGTCGCACGGAGGAGAAAGCCTGGCGAATCGTTTGGGCTTGTCTCGTTCCATTCTGATACTCCCGGAAAGTTTGTTCTGACTTTGGTGGGAGTCACGTTGACTTCTCTAGTCTTGCAAATATAGGAACCATTCGGTATAATGATACAGGGGCGAAAGGGAATGGGATTGACTCTCCCAAAACAAGGCACTCTTACTTTACTGACCTCCTCCCACGGCAGCACCAGCACTTGGGTTTTTGGAGCAAGGTTTCCTTTGGTTGGGCAATGCTAGTTTAGGTGCTGCCCGGACTTTCCCCAGTTACCCCAGGGGAAAAGGGAGGCCACTGAGCTGCAGTGGTCTGTGGAGGAAGCGGGTCTTTAGCTGGCACAGTGTGCTCCTAGTGTCTCCTTCCTAGGGGAAGGGCACCGTGTGCTCCTAGTGCGACTAGCACGATTTACTGAGAGCTGTGCCAGCGGCTACACTGCAGCGGAAACAGCGCAAACTTGGTTCTTTAGCTCGTCCACATGTTCGCATCCCTCCTGGACCGACCTCTGATCAAGACAGAAGCATCTCCTCGCTACTTGACCCTGCTGGAAATGTTAAATGTTGAACTGGACAATGCCAAGGTCACGTACGATGCCCAGGTAGTGGCCGCCCAGTCGAGCAGAGGCGCTCTGCCCATCAACAAGAACATGCCCCCTGTCGCCGGGCACCTGAAGTGGGCTCTGGAGCTCCAAGAGAGGCTGGATGTGCAGATGAGGGAGCTGCAAGCCATCACTCACCCGTAAGTAGCCGTCCTGTGCCGCGTGCTGCAGGGCGCTCCTCTCCGGGTATGTGCCGCGGGGCAGGGATCGAAGCCCACGCTCCGCCGACGCGCCTCACTCGGATCATTACCTCCGGCAGCATCATGGCCAGCGCTGAGGCGAAGCTGGTGCACGAGAAGTACAGGGAGATGATACGTCTGCTGCAGAATTACCGCGACCAGACCTACGAGGAGTGGATAGGCCAGGTGGATGCCGACTGCCAGTTCAACCTGGAGCAGCCTTTGCTGCAGAGGGATCTGGACTCCATGCTCCTAAGGGTCAACTTCAGCCAGAAGGTCAGTGTGTCATGCGCTCCCACGCGGAGCCGTCCTGCCAACATCGGCCGGGGCAGCCGCAAAGTCTGTGTAGAGGCTGCGTGGGCCCAGATCCCAGCTCCTGCTTGTGTCACCTGTGATAAAGCCCCTGCAGCAGCCTCGCGCTGCGTGTCTGTGGCACTGGGCCGGCTCTGACCCACGTGGACTTCCCCCGATTCAATCGCAGGATTTGTCCTTACAAAGCGGCTGAAAGTTTCGCCTGTGCTGACAGGTGCTTCTTTCTGCCCTTGCATCTTGCAGCTCGTTGCTGTTCTCCGGGAAGTCAAGTACTTGAATTTCCAGCAGCAGAAGGATATTCCGGAGAGTGCCGAGAGCCTCTTTGCTCGCAGCGAGACTTTCCGCAAGTTCGTGGACAACTTGGATCTCATCGTGGGTTGGTACAACAAGGTACGTTGGAAAACCGGGAGAAAGCGTCCTCCACCTCCTTGTCCCCGTAAGAGCTAGTTTTCAGTCTGTCACAACCGGGTCAAACTCTACGTTGGGCAATGGGCTCTCTGGTGGAACGGGCTGTACAAACCCGTGGTGCTTGGACACGCTAATCAGGGTGCCGCATGCTGTAAGCACCACTTCCTGCCTGGAGCCGCGGGAGATGGCAGCCCTGGGGCTTCGGCCGCCTGTGTGTCCCTGAGCAAACCACCCTCCACGGTGCTGGCCACGCTGCCCTCCTGGCCAGGGCCGCAGGAACGGGGCCTCCTCTGCCTGCGAGCAGCCGGACGGAGGGGGCGGAGGTGCTCGGGCCAGACCGGCTTGTGGCGGTGAGGGCTGCAGCCTCCCCTTGGCCCCACGGAGCAGCCCGGGCCCTCAGCCACGGGCACTGCTGTTTCCAGATCAGGTTGACGGTGCTGCCGGTTGAACTTCCTCTGATAAAGGAGGAGCTGGAGGAGACGGACGCCAAGCTGAAGACGGCCGAAACCACGCTGTTCTGGAGCAGCGAAGGTACAGCCGGCTGCCTCTGCCCCACCCAGCACAGCTCCCTCGCACACCCGGGGCTGGCCCGGGATTCCCCATCTCGCATCAGCCCCACGGCTCGGCGAGGCTGGGCTCGTGGCTCCCATGCCGGGCTGAGCTCATGCATCCTCTGTCTGGAGAAGAGGCAGGCTGCTGCCGGCCAGGCTCGGGGAGGCCAAGGGCTCTGTGCCCTCTATGGCAGGAGGAGAAGGGGCAGTGGGGCTTCCTGGGACGTGCCCCGGTACCCCTGCCTTTAGCTGGACACGCACGGGAGAGCAGAAATCCCCGGCAGGGCTGATCCTCAGATGACAGCCTCTCGGTCAGACCCGTTAGCAGCTGTCTAGGTCTCTCAGCCGCCCGCACGGTTTCTCTCAGGGGCTATGGAGTACATCCAGGAGATGAGAGATGGTTTATACAACTTAGGGACGAGAATCCAGAAAACGAAGCTAAACGTAGAGAACGTTGTCCAGCTCATGCAGGTGAGCACTGGGTTTTGCAGGCACCGCCACGATAGCGCGGCGGATGGGCATGGGCCACCTGCGCATGGCACGCGGGCACTTCGGGCTCCTGAGGCCCAGGTGTCTCCAGCCGGCACAAAGGCCCGGGCTGAATGTCGGCGGGTCCTTGCAGGACTGGGCCGCCAGCCCTTTGTTTGAAAGGAAGGACAACAAGGAGATGGCCCTCTTGGACCTGGATGGGAAGGCGAGCAACTTAACCAAGCGCTACGCAGCCATTCAGGACGTAGGGCTGAAGATTCAGGCCATGCTGACGGTGAGAGGCTGGGAAAGCTCCTTGGGGTCCCGAGTGCAGCGGGTAGAGCTCATCCTTGCCTTTAGCATCTCCCCACTGCCTGTCTCCGAGCCGTCGCCCCCAGCATTTCCCCATGCTAGGCTGGCCCCACGGCTCTGCGGACCTCCAGCTGGCCCAGCGGCTCTTTTCTCAGGTTGCTATTGCAGACCCGAGGTAAAAGACCCCTCCCTAGCAGCCGTCCAGCAGGACCTCAGGGCCACTCATGGCCCGCCCCAAGGAAGAGCCCTTTTCCAGGAACGTTAGACAAGTCGTTCTTCCCCCGGGCTGAGCCGGGGCTGTCGGAGGAGACGTCTGGGAGGAGGGAGCTCGCCTTAGGGACCGGCAGCGAGCTCGGGGCTTGCGAGCGTGCAGATGCCCAGGCAAAGGGCTGACGGCTGCTCTGCTTGCAGGAGAACACAGACTTATTCAAGGCTGACAGCACGTCCCGGACGTGGCTGAACTACGTGGAGTACGTGGATGACGCGGTCCTGGACGGGTTCTTCCGGTTCGTCCACAACTCGCTCCAGTTCCTGCTCACCAACATGGCACCAGGGGTACGTGGCTGGGACCCTGCTGCCCTTGGCGAAATGCGAATGCGGGCACACGGGTAGCACGTGTGCCTGCATGGCCTCGGCGTGGGCTGAGGGACCCGCCATCACCACGCCTCGCGGGGCGTCTCCGTCACAGCCCTGCCATTCCTGCGTGCTCAGTGCTGGGCTGTGAACCCCGCTCCCCGCAGCGACTCGTGTGACGGTGCCAGCCGGTGAGGCCACGTGGGAGCCGGCACTGCGAGGAGCAAGGGGGCACGAGGCTCCGTCAGGCGCAACCTGCCCGTTCCGGTAGCGCCCCTGCTCTCGGCGCGGACGGCTCACCCTGCCGCTTCCCCGTGCTGCCCTCCCAGTCCGTCCCCGTGACCCCTCGAGCTGGGAGCCAGGCCCAGCAGGATTGCCCTCTGGGGATGAAATAAGAGCCAAGGAAGGGGGGCAACCAGCTGGGCCACAGAGACCTGTGAGGGCACGGCCAAGGTGCTGGCGGGCTGCGGGGGGAGGCAGCTGGTCTGCAGGGGACCGGGGGGGCTGGCGGTGAGGGCAGCGAGTGACAGGGCTGATGGCCGGCGCTACGGAGCCTGGACGGTGACAGGCTCGGCCTTGCCCGTCCAGGCCAACGTCGCGCCACTGTTTGAGGTGCGCCTGGAGCTGTACGGAGACGACCTGCGCTACCGCCCGTCCCTGGAGGTGGGGGCAGAGAACGGCTTCCTGGAGCTGGTGGAAAGTCTCACGAATGACATCTATGAAGCGGCCAGGTTCATCCCCCGCCTGGCCCACGGCAAGCAGAACTACAAGGTGCGCCCCTCTGCCTCGGGCTCCCCCTCTCGGCAGGGCCCGTGCGACCCGCTTGCCCACCTGGGGGCTGGGTTGCACTGCAGGAGGGGCACGGGGGCAGCACCGATTGGACTGAATTTGCTGCCTGGTTTTGGCTGGAAAATAAACCAGGGGCAGATTCCTGAGCCTGGCGGGGGGCTTTGGGATTCCCCAGGAGCTTGGACACCTGCGTCCCACTCCCTGCTCGGGCGAAGGCTCAGCCTCTGATGCCCAGTGGGACAGCGTGTCCAAGAGGGGCTGAGATCTCCCCATGCCAGGAGCAGAGCCGCTGTCCCCGGCAGTCCTTTGTGGCATTGGGGCACATAGCCCCGACTCGACACGGGCAGCCCACGCACCCCGCTGAGCACCCCGTGCCTTGCAGAGCAACCTGGAGGACATGTCGGACCTGCTGGAGATGCGGGAGGAGGTGGCGTCCCTGGCCATCAGCACCATGAAGCAGGGGGAGGAGTACGAGGACTCCTTCGAGAAGTACAGCTACCTGTGGATGGACAACCCCCGCGACTTCATGCAGCAGTTCCTCACGTTCGGGCGCGGGCTGACACTCGAGGAGCTGGAGTCCCACGCGGAGGAGTACCTGCCGCACGCCCCACCGCCCCTGCAGCAGTTCCAGCTGCAGGTGAGGCCCCTCCAGCCCCTCACATTAGGTCTGTCCATCTTTCTGCAGGGGGTACAGGTGCCCCGTGACCCCCCACACCCCTCCGGGCAGAGCTGGGACTCCTGTCCATGTGCCGCCGGCTACGGGGCAGGGAATTCCCACCAGACGCGCTGCAGCGAGGGGCATTTAGGGCAGGTCCTCGCTGCTCTGCACAGGTGCCCACCTGCCCCCGGCTGGGTAGCGGCCTCCATCCGGAGGAGCCTTCTGCACCCGTGCTGCTCTGGTGGGAGCGGGGCCGGGTCCAGCAGTCCCCAAGAGCACACGCTCCCCGTCAGTGAGCGCATGCTGGGCTGGGGCTGGGGCTGCTGTGCCTGGAGGTGGGAACGGTCCCTCCTGAGGCTTTGCTACCAGGGATCTCCCTCAGTGGCACAGCCACAGCAACCCTGGCGTGGCTACCCAGGCGTCATGTCTGTGTGTGCCTGCAGATCAATCTGTACGAGAAGCTGTACGAGGAGGTGTCCAAGTTCGAGAACATGAAGGTGTTCAGCGGCTGGCTGCAGAGCGACTGCCGCCCCTTCAAGCAGGCGCTCCTCAACACCGTCAAGCGCTGGAGTCTCATGTTCAAGCAGCACCTGGTCGACCACGTCACAACCAGGTAGAGGGGGGCCGAGTTGGCCAGGCTTTCCTGGCGCTGCTAATGACCGACCGGGCGAGTCGCACCGGGGAGGTGGTGGCGGGTCGTGTCTGTCCGGAGATCTGGGATCCGCACCATGGACAGTCGGGACCTGCCGGGTCTGTCCTGTGGGAAACCCGCCCTTGTGGGTCCCAGCGTGGGAAGGCTGTGGCCCGAGGGAGGAAGGCTGCTCGCCCGCCCGGCTGCTGGGCCCGTCTCAGGGATGACTGCGGGAGGCCTGGCCTGGCCTGGCCTGGCCTTGCCGGCTCCTGCAGACCCCTCGCCTCCCTTGCAGCCTCCAGGACCTAGCAGATTTCATGAAGGAAGTGAACGCGGGCCTGACTAAGCCCCTGAAGGAAGGTGACTATGACGGGCTGGTGGAGGTGATGGGACACCTGATGAGGGTCAAAGACCGGCAGGCAGCCACAGACCACATGTTTGAGCCCCTGAAGCAAACCATCGAACTCCTCAAGACCTACGGGGAAGAGATGCCGGAGGAAATCCACATGCAGCTGCACGTAGGTTGTCGAACGCAGCAGCTGGTTGTGCAGCGCGGCCTGCGGGGTTCGTCGGGGCATCTGCCCGTGCCCGCGGCTCCAGAAGGCTGAGACCCAATGCAGCCATGCCTTTTTTACATGGGCAGGGGCAGGGCAGCACGTCTCACTGGAAACAGCCAAAATCGATCACCACATTACTAAACTTCCCGCTGATTCAGCTGCGGCTGCATGTTAAGTGTCCTAGAAAGGAGAGCAGCCCCGGGGGTGCCCTGCCACGTGGAGGACAGGCTGGTGATGGGAAGGAGCATAGGGCTGGCTTGGCAGGGCCGGGCCAAGGGCGTGTGCCTGGTATGAGGTGCCACCCAGGGAGGTGCAGGGAGCTGCACAAGGGGCAGTGGCGGCATCGCCTGCTCGGGCTCCAGGCACCGGGGCAAGAGGGAGTTTGAGTCCATCCTGCAGGACGTGTCACCAGGGAGTTTCTCGTGCCACCACCCTGCCCACAGGCCCAGCCCGGTCGGCCCTTGGCCGGGTTCTTTCATTTTCATCAGCACAAATTAGTTTGTGTTCTCTGCAAATTCCAGCCCTGCCCGTCCCCCTCCTCGTGCTCCTTGGCGAGCACCCGCGGGCCAGGCGGTGGTGTCTGCTTGCACCCTGGGGTGCAAGGTGGTGGGATGCTGATTGTCCTTGGCCTGCTGCAGGAGCTGCCGGAGCAGTGGAACAACACCAAGAAGCTGTCCTTCCAGGTGAAGCAGAACGTGGCCCCGCTGCAGGCTAACGAGGTCTCCATCATCCGCAGGAAGTGCCAGCAGTTCGAGGTACCGCGTGCTCTGTGCTCACTTGGCTTCTTGCCCGCGCCAGAGTGGGAGCAAAGCCAAGGAATGCGACGGATGCGTTTCGGCTCCAGCCCGCCCCGGCCCCGGCCATGGCCCCGGGCACATCGCAGAACCCGGCGCCTGCACCTGCAGTGCAGCTCTGGCATGGAAACAGCCATGAGATGATCCATTTGCCAGATCTGGACCCCCAACTGCTGTCTCGTTTGTCTCAGACAGACAGGCCCAGCCGGGCACAGCACCGGTGTGCAAGGGGTGTAGGACCTGGGCTCGGGAGATGTCCCAGAGCTCGGGCCTCTCCTGGAAAGTGCCCTGCTAGCAGCCCTTGGCTCTGAGTCCATGGGGGCTGCAGCCCGAGCACCCTCTGCCCCGGGATGGAGGTGTCTCTGGGCAGGGAGAGCTTTTCAGGTGAGTGCCCTGAGGTCTTCAGGGCACCAGACAGCAGCAGTGATGTTCTGCACGGCTGGGAGTTTCCCAGCCATCCCACCGTGTGTTCATAGCATGACAGCCTGGGCGGGGAGCCCGGGGCCAAAGACTCTGGTCCCAGCCCCTCGCTCACAGCTGCTGTCCCAGGGGCAGCCCCTGGCCTGGCGAGGGTGCTAGTAAATGGTGGGGATGTATTTGGTAGCCGTGTTGGTCTGAGACAAAAAAGAAATGCAAAAAACTCTAGACCTCTTGGTTCAGAGATGACACCTTTTCTTAGACTGACTAAGAAATTGCAAAAAAATGATCTTTTAAAAATAAATGGCAGATAAACTCCAGCGGCCAGGAGGGCTGCTGCAGTCGCTCCCCACGGCTCGAGCAGAGCTGCCTTGGGGTCTTGCCTCAGCCTCACGCCGGGCCCGGGTCCCTGGCGCGCCGCATGCAGCCCCCTCCCACATGTCCGCTCACTCTCTGCTTCCTCACAGGTGCGGCAGCACGAGTTCAGGGAGAAGTTCAGAGAAGAGGCCCCCTTCACTTTTACGGATCCGGATCCATACCAGTCCTTGAACAAGGTAATGCTCAGAGAAGGGAGGGTCTGGGGGCAAATCATCCTCCACACGGCCCTGCAGAGGTGACAGGCACGAGGTCCCGGGTGTCCGTGCTCTGCATGGTGTCCTCCACCTGGCGCTGAGCTCTGCTGTGCCCAGGGCCGGGGGAGAGGGCAGGGCTGGTGGAGAAGCCAGGCCCTGGCTGTGCATCCTGCAGGAGGGGGACCCAGGCTGGGGCAGCGGGAAGCTGGGCTGCTGCTCTGCACGTGGCGGGGAGGTTTGCTGCCTGCGGTCTGTGCTCCCCAGCGCTCGCTGCAGGGGCCTGGGGCCTGCAGCTGGGGACACGCTCGACCCCAGCAGGGGACACTGCCGCTCTCAGAGCACCGAGCACAGCGCAGCGGCAGCTCCCGTGGCCAAGGCCTTTTGTGTTCTCCTCACCAGCAACAGAAGAGCATCACCGCAATGGAGAGCAACATGGAAGCCCTGGCCAAGTCCGCCGGGCTCTTTGAAGTGTCCATCCCAGACTATAAGCAGCTCAAAGCATGCCACAAAGAAGTGCGTTTGCTCAAGGAGCTCTGGGATATGATTGTCTTGGTAAGTGTGTCAAGCATGTCCTGAGGTGAGTGGTGTGCAGGGGCACATGTCTAGGTGTGTGGCACAGGCGGCGTGCGTGTGTGTATGCGCGTGTCTCGGCACGGGACCAGGTCCCCGGGGGGTGTCTGCGCCCTGCAGTGACAGTTCCTGCGACTGGGGCCTGCCTGGCCCACGCGCCCCGGCCCATGCATTGCCGGAGGGGAGCGCTTTCCCTTTTCTGAAAGCCGCAGCCAGAGCCGAGAGGGGAACGCGTGTTCGGAAACACGGGATGAGCCTTTGCAAATGGTGCGGGCAGTGCAGCTGGTCTGTGACCGCAGGTGACCGCGAGCATCGACGACTGGAAGACGACCAAGTGGAAAGACATCAACGTGGAGCAGATGGACATCGATTCAAAGAAGTTCGCGAAGGACATCAGGAGCCTGGACAAAGAGATGAGGAGCTGGGATGTGTTCATCGGGCTGGATAACACCGTGAAGAACATGATCACCTCCCTGCGGGCCGTGAACGAGCTGCAGAACCCCGCCATCCGGGACCGGCATTGGCACGAGCTCATGCAAGCGACCAAGGTAACCGCGCAGGCCTCGGGGCTGCCTTGAGCAAGCAGGGAGGTCTGGGGCGCAGGGACTGGGTGTTGCAGTCACCAGTGCTTGCAGCGCCCGAGTCCCTGAGCGGCCTTGGAAAGTGCTGCCCAAGGAGGCAGAGCTGAATGGTTGCTCGTGCCATCTACAATGTCCTCCAAGTGCACAAGGGTCTAAGCCTGTCACACCAGGGCTCCCCAAAGCGCTGAATAGACCGTGGTGGTAGGCAGTCTGAGACTGCACATGCTGCCCTGGAAATTACTGCGTGCTTGTTAACTATGTGCTGACAACGTGCAAAGCCAGAGCATCGTTTCAGCCAAAGCGCGAGGACACTGGGCTTTCAGCTTTGCTTCTGATTTCTCAACCCTGCTGCTTCTCCAGCGCTAGCTCCCTGGTTTATACTTATCTAAGAATGAACGGATGTCACTAGCTGTCTTTCAGTCGAGCAGGAAATCCTGAAGAGCGGCATCAGTGGCCCAAAATAACCTGCCTTTTGCATGTTCGTTGGCCGTGCATAAGGCTGTATTTCGTAGCCATCACAGATGGGTTGCGCTCTAGAAGGTCCCAGCTCCTGGCACAGGCTGCTTCTTTGAACAGACACCGAGGGGGAAATTCTCACGTGTCACGTGTGTTTGTGGTCTGGGGTCTTTTTCTGGCACAGCTGCATGTGTACTCTCTCTTTTTCCTAACGTGTAAAAATTGCAGAATTCGCATGATCTATAGGGACTTGTGTATGTAAGTCCATTTTAATCAGGTCCTGAACTCCAGAAACAACCTCCAGCAGCCGAAGCATTGAAGAGGTGTCTCCCGTTGTGCTCCAGGTGAACTTCACCATGTCAGACGAGACGACCCTGGCTGACTTGCTGCAGCTGAATCTCCACAAGTTTGAAGATGAAGTTCGCAGCATTGTAGACAAAGCAGTGAAGGAGTCGGGGATGGAGAAGGTGCAGTATGTGCAGCCGAGTCCGTACCTGGCTGACGGTCAGTGCGCAGCTCTCCTCCTTTGGGGAAGTGCTGCTGGCTCCAGGGCGATCCTTCCCAAAGTGTTTGTTTCCCATTAGACTTTCTCCGCTTTGAGCCTTGGGAGTATTTCTGTGTCTGCCTTGACTTGCAGGTGCTGAAGTCCCTGGACAGTACGTGGTCCACCATGCAGTTCGAGCACGAGCCTCACACCAGAACAGGCACCATGCTGCTCCGGTCCGACGAGGTGCTTGTAGAGACCTTGGAAGACAACCAGGTGCAACTGCAGAACCTGATGACCTCCAAGTACCTGGCTCACTTCCTGAAGGAGGTGTCGAGCTGGCAGCGGAAATTATCGACGGCCGACTCCGTCATAAGCATCTGGTTTGAGGTGCAGAGAACGTGGAGCCATCTGGAGAGCATCTTCATCGGCTCCGAAGACATCCGGAAGCAGCTGCCAGACGACTCCAAGCGGTTTGATTTGATCGATAAAGATTTCAAAGTGAGCAGCCTTTCCTCTCGGCCCCGAGAGCCCCGGCCTGCGGCACACGCTGCAGCGTGAGGCACAACCCGCCCCTCTTTCTTCTCGCAGGAATTAATGGCCGACGCCATAAAAATCCCTAATGTGATTGAGGCAACAAACAAACCAGGGCTCTATGAAAAGCTGGAAGCCCTACAGAAAAGGTGAGCCATGGGCTGTGATGAAGGGGGGGAGAAATCACTGATGTCTGCTCTCTGGCTGGAGGCCTTTGATTACCACTGCAGCCCTGTCCGCCTGCCTGGCATTTCCTCTGCAAACAGGACAATGTGACACCATTTCGCTCCCCCTCATTTTAGCCTGGCACTGTGCGAAAAGGCTTTGGCCGAGTACCTGGAGACCAAGCGCCTGGCTTTTCCCAGGTTCTACTTTGTTTCGTCTGCAGACCTGCTGGACATTTTATCAAATGGAAATGAGCCTGTTGAGGTAGGTCTAGTCCGAGGAGGAAAGGCCTTTGCTGCTTGCGCAGTATCTGGTTCTCGAGCTTTGGCTCAGGTGCAGCAGAAGTCCAGCGTGCCCGGGGTAGTGCCGCAAGGCGATGCAAAGTGTGAGGCATTTCTGCGTCCTGAGCAGCCGCCTCTGCCCGCTCCCTTCCCAGGTGGGCCGGCACCTGGCCAAGCTGTTTGACAGCATCGCAAAACTCAAGTTCAAAATGGACCCAAACGACAAGCCCCTGAAGGTCAGCGTGGGGATGTACAGCAAGGAGGACGAGTACGTGGACTTCGACAAGGACTGCGACTGCTCCGGGCAGGTTGGTGGGTTTGGGGCCCCTTGGGTGTGTGCTCAGACGCCTCTGGCAGGTCTCAGCGGGTCGCTTGGCCCAGGCATCCTGGGTGCGCCTACATGTGTGCTTTAATGCGCGCTAGCCGACTTCCATGTGCATTGAAGCATCACTTTTAAAAAAAAGGTGCTTTTACTTAATGCACATTAAAATAGGCTAATGCACATTAAGCATCACGTAAAAAGCGTGCTCTTTAATTAGCGTGCATTAAGACAGGCTACTGTGGATTTTCCTAGTACCTCACAATGGAAGTACTAGATTTAATGCACATTAACCAAAGCACGGTAATGCACATGTAGACGCACCCTCAGGGCTCCGCTCATTGCAGTGGGACCGCGGGATGCGATGCGATGCGCGTGGCGTCTTCACTGCAGAACGTCCCCCCGTGAAAGGAGCTGCCCAGTTTGTGTTTGCTCTGACCCCGTGTGTTGCTGTTTGGGGCCGGATGTGGCGGGCCAGTAGGGGGCGCTCCTGCGTGGAGCCGCCCACCTCCCTGCACTGACCACCTTCCAGGCTCCGAGTGCCTCCCTGGGGTGCCTCCCGTCCGGCCGACCCCTTCCCTGGAGCACACCCGCTAGCCTGGGGTTCCTGCTGCCACCACCCAAGGCTCTGGCTCAATCCTGGCTCTGTGCACCTTGGAGAACACAGGCCTGATCGTCCAATGGGTGCTAGACCCAGTACAGGCACTTGGGGCACTTCCCCAAGTCAGGGGCTGATTAGGAAGCCTCTCTTAGTCCACC